CATCGACTGCTTCAGCTTTGAAGCCCACAGTTTGTGGATGCGCCATCACACTTTTAGTCAACCATGCGTTTAGCTCATGCAATCAAAACAGGTTTGCAATCGATAAAGCCAGTCAACTTGTTTTGATAAATCTGCAATCAGTTGCTAGGATACTAAGTGGTGTCTGGTGTCCCTGGGTAATTCTAGCACCTCATTGTGCATGTGTCAATGAAGACCAGAATTCTTAACAAATTACACACTTTGGCCGTGTTGAAGTCGTAATGGAATCTTCACGTAAACATAAGACAAACCTGCTGATTCCTGCAGAGAAATTTCCACTCCAGATGGTCCAAGTCCTCTACCTTTACTGACAACCTGTTTACCAAAGCTTCGATTAACAATGTATAATGTGCATAACAGTTAACAGTTTGCACTTCTTTGACCCCTTGACCCCTGAGAGTGACCAGCATCTAATTTCTCCTTACAATATCACTCCTGGATCACACATTAGAGTCATGAGAACAAAGGAAATGATCACCAACTATAGAAGCTCTTGATTTTTAAACAAATTCTCCTTGTCAGCATTTTAAGAAATGTAAGGAGAACAGTATGGAGAATATACATACTGATGTTAGGGTGTAACGGGTTAAAGAATCTAATAGGTGGCAATCAAACTGACTGCAATACCTAATCAAGGCTTGAAATAATTTCCCAGCTGGCTCCCATCAAGTTGTCTGGCCAAACCTATCTTTACTCAAAGACAATCCATTTTTGGCTGAACAAATATCCATTTTGTCATATCTCAATAAATCCCTCTTCTTATCAAACAAATATATTTACCAGCCTCAAGTTCAATGCAGGAAAGTGATACAGCTCTACTTAAAATCTGAACTAAACTTGAAATTAAAATCATTTTTAGATGCTTAACCCTATACACCCTAACATCAGTATGCATATTCTCCACACTGTTCTTTATACATTTCCTAAGGTGCTGACAAGGAGAATTTGTTTGCCAATCAAAAGATTTCTTCCCTGGTGACCATTTCCTTTCTTCTCATAACCTCAATGTGTGATTCAGGAGTGAATTGTAGGGAGAAATTAGATGCTGGTCACTCTTAGGGTTTAAAGGGCTACACAACTGGACAAAAAGTGCAGCCCTCCAAGAACTACTAACAGACTTCACAACCAATTTCTAAGAATTTGAGACCAACCTTTCCAGAGAGTGTGAAACCAGTAAACACAAAGTTTATGTCTTCTCCCTTGCTACATTTATCTGTGGTACCATCTATGTTTAATTCCACACTGTTTGGATCTGCAGGGGGGAGGGAGGAAAGGAAGTATTATTTCCATTATCCATTTAAACACTTATTCAAACTGTCTAATTGCGAATAGAACACATAGGATATAATTTTAACTTTCTTACCAAAACTCCAACCAACAGGAGGCTCAATTTTCAACATAAATACTCCCTAAATTGTGTGAGACAAAAAGCATCATTCAGTTATACACATTTAATGCTACAATTAGGGATACAAAAAAAAAATGTTGATTTCATTTCCAACTTAATGAGGCATTTTCTGATGTTAGAGGCACAAAAAGGGAATAAAATTTGACATGTACTTGTAGATTAAGCCTTTAACTCTTGAATCAAATTTTGTAATTCTCCTTACTGTCAACCATACAATTCTTATAATGTTAGTTCAGAGAATTTAGTATTGGATCAACTAATTATCCCCAAATTGATATTTTTCTTTATTCTCATCACTTATCTGGTTGATATTGTAGAGATATTGTAAGGAGAAATTCTGTCTTGGTCACTCATGGGAGTTAAAGGGTTAAGCCCTGGTTGTTTACGGATTGGATAACCCTATCCACTGGATAAATCTCTATCTGGTGGATAGTGCAGTACATTTTCTTAGCAGTTATCCACTAGAAAACGATTTATCCATTGGATAGCGTTATCCACTCTTTGAACAACTGGACCTACATGTAGGTGGTCACATATTCAATACTATGCATAAACCCTGAGATGGGCTACTGAACTCAGGTAACAGTTATGGAAATATACATGCATGTGGGGTGTGTTCATCATAGCTTAGGCATTGTTATTTTTGTCTGTGTATGACAAAATCCAGTGTTCAATTAAACCCATGAACATGAAATGGTAGCTAGGCTCACAGATTTAATTTGTATTGACTCATTTTTTTTTTAAATCACAAATACATATAGTTTTAATGTATCCACATATCTTTACATGGCATCCAGATGAAAGCGTGTCAACCCCCTCCTTCAACTTCCCCTAGCTAGAGGCGGATAGTCAGCCAGTCCAACATGGCACTCAAACTCTGAAATCCCACAGCATCCTGGAAGAAGCAACACAAATAATATGGTAGTAACAATTACCTTGTCATACAATGGAATGAGAAAGTAGCCATTGTTTGGTGCACATTCTGTTTGAGACTTGATGATTCCCTGCTTGGTTAACAGCTTCATCTAATGACAATTTAAAGAAAAAAATAATTATTTTAGCCCGTTAACTCCCAAATGTGATTAATATGTAACATGTTCACACATTATGTGCAAACAGGTAGCAAGAATACTCAAACTTGTCAAGTAGAAGTTATCTTGATCCAACACCAAATTCTCATAACTAATTACTGGGACTCTGCAGGATTTTCAAAATTTGAGGTAATATGCAGTATAAAACTTGCCACTATGCATCAAACGGGTGCAAAAAATATTGTGCCTATTATAAGCATAATTACTACTTTCAAGATGTATTATTTTTAAATAAAGGATTTCAAAACACAATTGTTAACTAGACTGATATAAGAGCTCCTACACTGATATAGCTTCTTATTGTCTCAGTTGGCATCCTCTTCATCTTTCTTCTCACTGAGTATACTCGACAAGTACACTAAAACACCTTTAGGGGGCACCCCTTACTTTGCTCCCATTTAGTTGAAATAGGGTCCCCCTGAAATTGAAGTGGGGACCTCCCTGATTCATGATTTTGCATGTACTTTTCCATTTGCTCATGTAATGGATTGTTCTTTACTCTAAGTTGTGTCTTTCAGTTTTGATGTTTCCCCTCATGGAAGGTATTTCAGTTTTTCTCTATCACTTCAAAAGCTTCTACAGTTCACCTATTTTTTTTTTCAATTTTATTTTAGTTTTAAATGCATATCATTGTCATTAATGTAAGACTATTATCATAGTTACCATTATTATTATTATTATTATTATTATTATTATTATCATCATCATTAGCACTATGATAATCATTTCATTGTTATTAGTTTCAAATCTTGTTGCTCCAACAAATTGTGATAAAATAGAAAATCTAGGTAAGCTCATATCTCACAGATATGAAGTCAGACTGCTATTGTCAGCATGACAGAAAGTTACGATGGGTTATTAAAAAATTAATTTTAACGACCAAACATGCACCTTTACAGAAGATAACACATATCACATGAAAATCACGCCACAACGCCCCTAAGGAAAATAACATAACTATTTTTGGGCGAGTCGTGTCTCCTGTCACTGATAAAGAAACCCATTTGATCGATAGAGATATCATCTAGGAGAGCTACTCCAAATAATATTACTTATTGAGCGTTCCGTGACTAAAGAACACCCTGTCTCGAAGACGGTCCAATATGTTCAATTAAAATCTGTCATTCTGTATTGGAATAAATTAAAGAGAATTATAGGTACTAAAAACAGATTCAAAATGAAGGGATTCCTTTTCTATCTTTAAACATTTAGAATTACATTCGGAATACCACAAAAAAATTACAAAATTTGAAACACGAACGAGCATTCGACTGATGAAGCTGAAATTAAAGTGTATGTTATAATCGATCGTCAGCCGGCATGCCTGTTCGCACCTGTATAAGAGAGTAGTTGATGTCCACGTCTGATTGAACGAATCCTCCGCAACCGACAACATCTTGAGCTTTCGTTGACGACGAGTACCTTAATACAACGATAAGCACCGAGAAAAGAATCAGGCGAGAAAACGACAACATTTTGCTTACAAGAGCCACTGTAGGTGAAGGCGCCATGCTTGAAATGAGGACGCGGCAAGAATAGCTTGGTTACATGGCTTTGAATATTCCTTACACGAAGTAGTAACTTGTGTTCGTTCCCAGTCGATCCGAGAATAGCCTATAGAACGGGCATATTTCTTTTCCAGTTTTTCAGTCGATCGGAGGCAAGTGCAAGGCAGCACAAAGTGCGGGTCATGCAAAAGGGAGGGAGCGTAAGATAAATAAATAAATAAATAAACAGTAAATAAAAAATTTCTTCGTTCCCGTCTAGCGCTTGTCTCCGTTCGCTTGTAAAACACAAACAATTACGCCTGTTCTGCAGGCGAATCCGAGAGTAACGGGAGATTTTTTGGACCACCGAATAATTATGTCTGCCCTTTTGATGTGCGGTTATTAATTAAAAGAAATGCAGATTATGCTCTAAGTTCATTTGACTGCAGAACCCAGCCAGTATCTGGAAGGTGTAGGTTCGAATCCTGTCGAAGCCCGAATTAAGCTTCTTTTCTACAACTTATATTATCGCAACCTACCCGCGAAGATTTTTCTCTTCCTTTGTGTTTCATATGAAGGCTAATGCATGATTTATTAAATTTAATTATGAATATTACGAGAGTCGAAGTTTCTCACATATGCAAATAATTTACCTAACAAATGATCTCCGTCAAAACAAAAAACTGATAATCGAAACTGTAGAACACTTCTACTCCTCTCTACGCCATTTCCTATCTTAGAGTCGCATGGGTAATATTAACCTTTAGCGTTGCTCCAGTTATTTAGCTACTGCTGCCCTTATTTTTTCAAAGTTTCTCAAGCGAACACAGTTTTACATACAAATAGACGGACAGACGTACAGCCATCATGTGGCAACCAAGTGGTATCGGCTTAGTGAGTTATACTTTTCTTGATATGGTGCTCCGCTGTTGCGCCTCGTATTTTTATTCAAACTGATGAATAGGCTAAGATTAATTAGATTAAACTGTAAAACAGTTGCTTTACGGCTGCACGAATTTGACTGTCTCTCCAACAAAAAATTAAGGGATTTAGGGTCGAGTTTAAGAAGACTAATGTGACTGTTGTGATAAGTACACTTGAGGGGATGGAATCCAGAGCGCGTAACATTTGCAAGTGAGTGTACAACGAGTAGGGAAAATAACATAGCAAAAGTATGATGCACAAAAGAAATGTTTTTAAAGCCGATTTCTTGAGCCTTAGAATCCTATAAACGTTGTCATTACTTCCTTGCTGTAGTTGTTGTTGTTGTTGAATCTGCCTTCGGTGGCGTCGAACAACGCAGTATATTTTAGAATAAACAAAAAAGTTTGCCACAAGAAGACATAGAAAGGTCGCGGGTGGAATTAAATAAAAGAAATATCCCGCCCAAAGTTTGGAGCTTGCAATAGCAGCAGAGAGAAGCCAAATGAAACTCACAACCGACTTGACACGAAGAGGCGTTACCACTTGAATATATCTCAAATGGAACTGGAGAGCAAGCAAACGGTCGACTCCAATCGCTGTAATGATCATCAATGAAGGTGTGGACAAAAAGATACACAAAACATGTGGCAGTTCAGAACCGAGAGGAGCCAGTAAATACACAATAAATAAAGGCTGAACAACCAAACCCATGGCAAGGTCTGATACGGCAAGACTTGACAATAAAATATTCGATGCTGAATGCAAAGAAGATGTCTTCCAAATAGTTACCAGAATCACAGAGTTCCCGAACAGAGTGGTAATACTAAGAATAACAATGATAACACACCCTGTTAAACTATAAATTAGATATTGACCAGTGTTCGTAGGGATTTGATCATCATTCACAGGTTGACTTGTGTTGGCCTCCATAGAACAACGAGCAACTGAGAGCGCTTCCAGTGAAAGATATGGCGTCTTGTGGTTCAGCTGTTCTATCCTTATCACCAAACTGTGCAATACGGCAATAATATAAGTGTATTTACTTAATATCTATCAAAGGACCCTCTACAGTGTCGCCTCAATCAGTAAAACTAAACGTACTTGGATTAATTCAGTTCTTCAGCCACAGTTGTCTATCTTTGGCGATGTCTGTTTATTTAGGATAGTTTTTTTCCTTCCTTGTTAGATATTATTTGTTGCCAAAGCAATCATTTACTAAACAGTTTTGTTCACTTTTAGGTACCCTGAACTGACGAGTTTCTAGAGAGAAGATGGTTGTTTATTTATCATATGTTACCTATTGTATTAAATGCTGAAGGAAATAGGATTTTTATTTTAAATAATTGTGTTTATTTTCTGACAAAATTATTTTTAAAAAAATGTCTTTGTTTTATTTCGACTATACAAATTAATATCCGGTGTAAAATAAGTCTCACTCCTGAACAAAACTCTTATTCAGATGAAATTTCAATGCTCTTAATTGATTTCATTCATAGATGGCTCGACGCTCATAATTTTAAGAGAAATTACAAACAAGACTGATGATTCAAAGCCAGTAAAAAACAGTAGTGGCGCATGTAAAAAATTGAGTTTCGTGTCGTAATTGTTTCTCTGAAGTTATGAACAAATGATAAAATAATCATAAGTAAAAAAAGCTGCATTATCAAAATAAAGCCCATTTAACAAACAGACGTTAAAATGATAATGATCAACTGAAGATGATTATTAAAATATAGCCCATTTTGGTAGAAAAATCAAAACCAAATCAAGGTGTAAGAATGAAAACCAACGTTACCGCAATAGTCGATACGAACAAAGTTGAGTATGACGGGGAGCCTGTGAGGACTTTGAGCGAAAAACAGCAAACTTACTGAACCGCAAGAAAGGCGAGCGACCGACTCGGGATTAGTAGAAGTTTTGTGTCTCTGATGGGTTGAGGAAGTAATGCGAGTTATTGTCGACCAATCACACAGAAAAATATAAGCACATTCAATCCTGGAGTAATTTTTTTTCTTGATTGCAAAGTAAAGCACTCAGGCCATACGTCCATACATGCATCAAGAGGGTCTATATGTTTATTCGCAATGCACTTCAATATTTCCGACATGAACCTTTCTGGTGAAGACTTCAATTTCAAATTCCACGCCCAAGCTGTAAACGAGTTGAGGCACACACTAGCAATAGGCGTGATTAATATGATTCTCAGTGCCACAGCCCTGTTCGGAAACGCGGTGATTCTAATCACGATTTGGAAGACATCTTCTCTGCATTCAGCTTCGTATATGTTGCTTTCAAGTCTCGCTGCATCAGACCTTGCTGTTGGTTTGGTTGTACAACCTCCTTTCGCTATATTTTTGCTTTTGAGAACGACGAATCGTGGATTTCATCGTAACGTGGCTTTCTTTTTAACCTTGGTGTCTTTGATGAACATCACAGCAATCGCAGTGGATCGTTTGCTTGCTCTTCAGCTCCATTTGAGGTATAAAGCAATAGTGACAACATTCCGCGTCAAATCAGTTCTGATTTTTATTTGGGTGTTCGCTGCAGTTAGTGCTGTGCCTCTCGCAAGGATAAGACAGTTTATTTACTACATGTACCTTCCTCCTGCGATTTATACATGTCTTCTCGTTCTTAACTTTATTGTATATTGTAAAATCTATCTCATCGTTCGATATCATCGAAGACAGATTCAAATCCAGCACCATCTCCATCAACAACAGAGTCAGGCTGATGATAGAAATCTTATTACTGGGAGACGGCTCAAGAGATCTGCAGTGAACACATTCCTTGTGTACATTCTTCTTCTGGTTTGTTATCTTCCTTTTTCAGTTCAGTTAGGAATTCTATTTCTCAATCTCGATTTACGCCAAGGCTCACCTACAGTTTTTAACGTGACACTTACATTGGTTTTTTTCAATTCTACCCTTAACCCTGTATTTTATTGTTGGCGAGATCGCCAGATTCGCACAGCTTTAAAACAACTGTTAAGCGGCTTAAACTGAAGTAATTTAAAGATAACAGAAATTAAATGCCTTTCTTCCATCCAGATGTCGGCACTGGAAAAGTTTATTCCATAGTCTTTCACGCCTTCCCCCTGTCTCAAGACAATTTTCTGACCCAAATGATGCCCTTTGTCATGACTAAGTAACCATGGTCAGTAGTAAATCTCTCTAATTAAAACCGCTATGTGCTGAGTGTTATGAACACATGCCAGAGTCGTCTTGTATGGACACATTAATAAAAAAAAAAGACTCTAATAATTGCAGTGCTTGGGTCAAAATTAGTACTAGTGTGTTTAGTCAAAGAAGTGAAAGAAAATTAGAAATAAAAATATATATATACATGCCAACTGATGTCATCAAAATAGATGTAGATTTTTTTTCACGATACAATTTGGCTAAACGTGTTTATAAACAAAGACTTTTGTCATGTTTATGGCAGAATCAACAAGGAATATTTTTTTGGCAAAATCATTTTGAGGGTGGATCATCTTCATGGCAGAAACCCTTCATCTGGATGCTTCACTTTGCTTTTTCATTCAAATATCTTTCACTACTCATATTGTTTATCATGCTGTCAGAAATCAAAAGCAAGAATGTCTATTCAAAGGTAGTAAAAACCAAAAAGGCGCTTGTAGAGTATTGTGTTTGGTCTCGTAATTGCTCTGCCGGAGTCAAAAACAAATAACAAGTAAGTGAAGGTATATTACTGTAGAAAGCTCATTTTGACAATAAAAATCAAACTCAAAGAGAAGAAGTAAAATTAAAACCAGCGTTATCGCAACGGTCAATCAGCACAAAGGTAAATAAGACAGAGAAATGATGAGATCTTGAATGAGGAAACCACACTGAGATGCGGAAAAAGCACAAAACTAACTCGGGATTCGTTTTTGATTATGCCTCTGATTGGTTAAGGAAGTCATGTGAGTTTTATCAACCAAGCACAAAAAATGAAGCAAAATCAATTTAATCTTGTTTCTTAACGGCAAAGTAAAGCACTCAAGCCATACACGCGTTTAGAGACCATATTCTTTTAGTGTAATTCGATCTATTTCTGACATGAACCTCTCTGGTGAAGACTTCAATTTCAAATTCTACATCCAGGCTGTACACGAGCTAAATCACACCGTAGCCATCTGCGTGATAAACGTACTTCTCAGTGCCACAGCCCTGTTCGGAAACGCAGTGATTTTGATCACAATTTGGAAGACATCTTCTTTGCATTCAGCTTCGTATATGTTACTGTCAAGTCTCGCAGTATCAGACCTTTTTGTTGGTTTGGTTGTACAGCCTCTTTTCGCATTGTTTTTGTTATTTAACAATTTCGATCCTGTTCCACTTCACATTTTAGCCGTCTTTTTAACTTTGGTGTCTTTAATGAACGTTACTGCAATTGCAATAGACCGCTTCCTTGCTCTCAGACTCCATTTAAGGTATAACGCATTAGTGACAACATCACGCGTCAAGTTTATTCTGATTTGTATCTGGCTATTCTCTGCTGTTGTTTCAATCCCTTACCTTGGGTTAAAGTATTTCCGTCCTCTCTTGCTTCTTCAACCCGCGATATTTTTGTGCCTTCTTGTTGGTAACTTTATTGCATATTCTAAAATTTATTTCATCGTTCGACGCCATCAAAGCCAGATTCAACTTCAGCGCCATCCTCACCAACGACAACAAGAAAATAATGGAAATCTTTTCAGTGTCGTAAGACTCAAGAAATCTGCTGCGAACTCATTCCTTGTATATACACTCCTTCTGTTTTGTTATTTTCCTTACACAGTCTATGTAGGATTGCGTCGTGATACCCACGGAAACTCACCAACAACTTTTAACACGATGGTCACATTGGTTTTTTTAAATTCTTCCCTTAACCCTATATTGTACTGTTGGCGAGATAGACAGATTCGCACAGCTTTGAAGCAACTGTATTTCAAAGTTAATTCCTCTTTATTTTCATAATAATTGGGAGGTTGAAATAATCCTCTCATCCTCGTATTTGCAAAGAACCATATTATCTAGTGGTGCACTTAACTAAGATGAAATTTCAGTGTTCAGTCTTCTTATTTAAAAAAAAAAAAAACAGTACGCGCAGAGAATGTTTCAGCGTATTATCCTTCGGACCCTCAAAGAATGGAGAATACAAACCCAGTAGATTTTATGGTCTGTAGCAAATAGAATTTGCATTTCTGTTTGTCGTCAAGTAACTGCGAAATTATTTTATATTGTTTTTCTTTCAATTGAACTACTGTCGTATGTCATGTTTCTATTCAGTTACGTTCTCGTTTTTGCGTGACATTGCGTAAGAATTACATAACGCCAGCAGTGTTTTATTTCTTGCCAGTATAAAGCGTTGTTTTCCTTACATATTTTTCATGGCTGGTAAACTAACTGAGTCATTTTGTTAGCTTTTGCTTGCGCCGTGTCACCTTTGTTTAAGAGTTTTACTACCAGACCTTGTTACGCCACAAATTGTAAGTTCGTTTCTACTTCATGTAGCTTTGTCGTTATCCTTGTTGTGGTTATATCTGTACTTAGATATTTGTATTATTTATTCATTTTCAGTCGAATCACATTTACACATCAACACACCCTTACATCTAAATATTTGTTTATCTGGGAGTAAGATTATTAAACGTGCCTTCATGTTGTGGCGAAAAACATCTGGTATTTAGCTACATGGTCCTTTGTCCAAAAGGTGTTGGAGACATATACATGAGGATGTGGTGCAAGGATGTTTCATATAAAATGTTAATCACAATCTACTTTTATTAAGAGTTACTACTGGTCACGTGATTTCACGTGACGTGATTTCTGTTACCGGCTAAGCCCCACGCGCACTTGGTCTCGTTTAGAAACCAGGGTTTCATCCGGTACCAAAATATTTATATTCTTTTAAATTTTTACATTCTTTACAATTTTCAATTTCAATCCGTTATTTTCCCGTTATTTTGCTCGGAATAGCGAGTGCAGCTGATTTACTAAACCAAAACGTATGGACCGCAATCAGCTGTTCACCTAACTAAAAATTAGCATCAAAAGTTAATTTAAATGCCAGAAAGGACATAAGTGCAATTAATGTTTGACACTACAGCGAGGAAACTCAGTTTTGTCACTTTTTGAGTGGCACAGAGATGGGTGGTTTTCTTAGATATTTACAACCGGTAATATGTGAAGTGTCGATGTTTTCTCTGTATATTAAGAAATGCTTGACCTCATAACGCTTTGTAAAGCGATTGAAAACAAGTTAAAGCCAGTTCATCGGTTGGAAGTGGTAGACAAAGAACCAATAAAATTTGAAAAAATGGAAGATACACCGCTACCAGCGACATACGAAATGCATAACCACACTTAATATGAAATATTTTTTAACGCTGTTTGCATTTTTCTTTCGATAATATTATCATTTTTATTTTGAACGCAATTCGCACAAACGATCATTTTCAAAGAGAACTATTCAAGAACTGCTGATAGCCGACTTCATTCCGTGAGTTTGTTTGAACATCTTTCACAAAAGACGACAAACATCTGCTCGATCATAAGCTAGTACAGTCTGACACTTACTGAGCACAAACAAATTCGAGACTAGAAACCGGCTCATAGGACCCAGCGACTTTACCATCACGCACTTTCCTTCACGGTAAAAGAAAGACATAGTTAGATACTTCCAACAACTCTCCTTCACTAATCTTTGAAATTTTATTGCATGCGTTAAATTTGCTCAGAATGTTAATGAGACAAGATAGTAAAATGCATGACAATTTTTTTCGCCGATTATAAAATGCATTCTTAATAAAATGTGGTACAATGAAACAATCTTAAAATGTGGTTGGTGATTCGATTCCGTGTCGAACAGTTGGTTATTATTCATATGGAAACATTAAGTATTATTACAGGAATTACTTCCTCTGAAACGACTCATGCGAAGCGCGTTCTCTTAAAAACCTTGACTTTCGAGGCCATCTTTAACAGCATTGAGACAAGTGTATCTCTCGGGGCTAACTCCATGGACAGCAAAGTATTTGTCTTATCGACTGCTTCACTGCTTGTCTTACTTCACTGATCCTCCAGCAGTAAAGAAATGGGTTCAACGTTGAGTTAAAGCAAACTAAAGTTCCTGCGATTCCGCTTATGGCGATTAAGTGTGATGAATATGTTTTACTCTTAGTAATAACAATTATCACTGTACCATATGGCAAACAACAAACCACTAATGCCAACTGCACCCACAGTGCGCTATGCACTGCCTTTCTGTATCGCGCAATGTTCAATACATTTGGTTGGCTTGGCTGTTGCTGAACATGATCCTGTACTTGAGCGTGATGTTGATTGAGAGTGCAGAAAATATATGTGTACGAAGCAACAGAAACAACCAGGCAAGACGGTATGCCTATTAAGCTATACCAAATGGTTATACGGTAATAAAAAATAAGGCACAAAGTAGCGGCAAGACATAGAATCCACATGTAAGCTACAGTGATAAATGTGCGTCTTAAATTTACAGTTTGCCTGTATCTCAGCCCCAAAATAAGGGCCAGAACTCTGTCCACGCTGATGGTCGTCATCGTGCACAAAGACATTGAACATAATAGATTGACTGTGAAGAAACCCGCGTCTCTGGCGTATCGACAAAGACTCCAGTGTTCGTGAACTAAGGACAGCAAATAGATAGCCCAGAGAGGCTGGCTAACAAGACCAACCAACAGATCAGTTGTTGCCAGACAACGGTACAAGAGTTTGGAAGGTGGATGAAGGGAAGATTCCTTGTGAAGCGCAACAAGGATGAGAGAATTCCCAAGAAATGCTGTAATGGAGAGGAGGATATTGACTGCGGCTAAAAAAGAAATCAATTGCAGTTGAAGTTTACCAACCAGGGAGGGAGAGCATAGCAGTTCTATAAATGTCTGAGTTCCATCTCCCGTTAGATTGGTTGTCACCATTATTCTGGGTGTTATAAGAAAGAGATTTCGTCCAAACAGCACCCAGCGCAGCCACCAGGGTTTAAACCTAACTTTCTTATTAATAATCATACAAAAAAAATTAACTTGTTTTCAAACGTTTGTCGCCCAGTCATTGCACTGTCATCGAACTGTCATCATAGTTAGGTCACGAACAAAAAGAACGGGTATTTTCTTCCTAACCGGCCTTGACAGTCAAACTCTTAGATATTTGTGATCAGTATCCTCCTCTTTCATTATGCAAAAAATGCTGAAAACTCTCTTCACGACACTAAGACCATAATTTTTGGATGAGTAGGCGTAGATGATTACGTATTCACTTTATTACCGTACTTTCGAGATGTCTAGGGTCGATATTAAGTCTGATAAACTGTCAATCGGTCTGGAAACGTATTGAAAACAGTTTTCGAATAAACACAGCTTTTCAAATTTAACCTATGGTCAGACATACTGAGTGATTCCGAACAATGTTTTGGTTTTTTATGGATAAACTCTTCTCACTTTTCCCCTTCGCGTTTCGCATTGGACTAGAATTAGAAAGGAACAATGGCAAGTGAAATACTATATGATTTCCTAATCAAACTTTTTTCTACTTCTATATTTTTCCTTTTTTGATTCGCTCTTTCCTTAGGGAGGTACCTCTATGTTAAATGTTCTCACCAATAAACTGTTAGTATCGATAAAGAGTAAAACTAAGTGTAGATAGGCAAGTGATCCCAGTAGAATTTTCTTCTTTTATTTTTAGCTTTAGCATGGTAAGATAACTTAACAAATAGAGAAGCCTTGACTGTGCTCTGTTCTGTTATAAAGCACGCAGGAAGCGGCTAAAGCACGAAAGAAGTGTAGGGAGAAACACGAGACGTAGTCGAGTGTTTCTCCCCACTTCTTGAGTGCTCTAGCCGCTTCCTAAGTGCTTTATAACAGAACAGAGCACAGTCAAGGCTTCTCTATTTGTTTTATAATAAAGAATCCGTTAAATTTCCCAAGAATTACTTTCAATTTTCAAAACAAACTTTATTTCCAAAGCGAACAAAAGTGTCGTCAGCATGCTCTATACTCTCATAGAGCACGCTACAATAGGCCAATCAGAATCCCTGTTAGAATGGTTCAAATAGTCTGATTGGCTTTACAAGACAAAAGCTGTCAAAAGTGTCAAACCATCAAAGTTCAAAAACCATTAAAGTTCACAATCTGAGATAGTTTACAAACTAAAATAGTTCGGCAAGTCGAATTTAACGCTTTTGCTTGAAGTTTTTAATACAGAATCCTCAAGTGAAATGTTCAGTGAACTTCAGCCGAATTATGGCTTATAAAAAACGCAAGGTTTTTCACATGACAAGGTAGAAAACAGACTGTTCAAGGCGAGTGTTTTTCAAATGAACGACAGCCGAATTCACCTGAACATGAAGATCGCTCGGAATGACAGCATGATCATATTTGCTCAGACACCGTCATGATTAGTATGAATTTTAACAGTTATGTCAGTTTGGTTATATTTTTCATCATTTCTGTTTTGTTCTATTTTGTTTTTGAACTCTGAACTTTATATACTATTCGAGTGTTTGCTGTGTTTGATTTTTATTACCGTACTTAAGCTTGCAATCTAACTGAGCGTGAAAATCTTTGAAACTCGGAATGTCTATTTTGTTTTTCCTTTACGGATTTTCATATCTGCTCACGTTTTAATAACGTAAATTACGGCGCCTGGTATGTTTACAAACCTTTGTTTGGTTCTTCCGTTGCTACTTGCCGGCTCGCTTGTTCCGAAATTTCACTTTCAATTATCGGAAAAAAGCTAAAAAGAAGTCCCGGAAAAGGTCGAACATAGAATAATTTGGCAGATGGCGTGACAGGTTTAGCTCAGTTCTATGCTCTATACTCTCATAGAGCACGCCCTTTCAACCAATGACAGCGCGCGTTATATCCGAACTTTATTATAAAATGTCTTAGAGTGAAACAAACTCCTTTGTTTACTGAAGGCAGATGGATGTATTCTTCTGCTCGATTCCTTCGTGGGTTTTTCGCACGTGTTACTACCGGTTTAAAAAGAAAATTTGCATGTAGTCTATGTTCTTCTACTTATTCTACAGTACACAAGCCGGATCGAGGTAGCTTCAGGCAAACAGTACTCCACATCAATGATCGAGTGTAGTCTTAAGTGCTAGCAAATTTATTTCGATTATTTATTATAACATAAAATCTCGCGTTTGTTTCTCTTACTATCCTTATATGCGTTTAACTACAACGAGTTGTATTTCCAAGCCTTGATTGGTAACAGATCGAGAAGACTTTTCCCCATCAGTTCATTTCGTCGACATATTAGCGCTGAAATGTGTCCCTGAAATTTTACTTCCGTAATCTTGCCATCATGATGAGCGTTCGTCGATAAAGTAATTTCACACATAGACAAGGATCTCGCTCTTATACGGCGTTGTGACTTTCGACGTTCATTAGCATCGCTAGATAACTTTTTATTCGCTCTAACAAGTTTTGGAGGTTTTTGAGTGAATTTTCATTGACTGTTACTAGATGCACGTGCTTCTGCTTCCACCGACTGATGGCTCTAAATTGCATTTCTTGAGTCTTAACATTCTCTCTATTTCGTCGCAGCGGAAGTTTTGTCGTCATCATTTTGCTATGCGACTTGTGCCCCTTGTTCCCTTCGTTCGGTGACTTGGTCTTTTTTTCTCAGTTCTCATCTACTTGATGCTGTACTTTCAATTTTCTCCGTGACAGTAAGTGTGACTAGTTAATTGTTGTGCGTCACCTAGGTTGTGACTGTTTCTTTTTAAGATGGAGCTGAATTTCTTCTCTCCATCTTTACACCTGTTGATACTGATACACCACACCATGAATACCTATGTCGATGTGTCTCGACCGCCAAAGCCTTTGACTGTCTCAGACGTGTGGCTCTTTGGCTACCCATACGCTCTCCAACATCTAAACACGCAATAAAATCAAATTTCCGCCTCGCACGAAGCTCCTTGCGCACTACTGGCTCAGCAGTGTGAGGTATTCCGAATCTTAAAATTCTTATTGCAGCTTTCCTGCATTGGCGGTTTCTATAGAAATAGATCGCTGGATTCACGAGAGAGTTTAACTGAAGGAAAGTTTCCGCCACTCGAAGCACCGAACTCGAACTCCAAAAAGGTAGAAATCTCGCTAGAATATAGAACACAACCACTACACCAGTGGAAATCAAAACGGCCATTGTCAGTAGAAACACAGTAAAAGCAATTCTTCTTTCGTTACAGGCTTTGATTAGAGAATTCACTCGTCTGATTGTGATTTTCCTCCGTTTCCGTGTTTCGATACAGACCATACTATAGAAATATACCATCAATGTCATCCCAAGAAACCAGACAAGAGAGGAGATAACGTCAACAGCTAAGTGAAAGTCAAAAAGAGAACTAGTGGCTACCGGTATAGCTATAATTATAAGATATAATAAAGTTGTCATAACGGGTGCTATCCAAGCGATAATTGCATATCTTTTTACGCGTCCTTTTGCAAGTAGCACTTGGGACTTTGTACATTTTACAATCGCTACATACCTCTCCCATGCTATTAATATCAAGTGGAAAAATGAGACACCTGAAGCAGAGTACATTAAAAAGACGGAGATCATTCTTATCTTGCAAATGATATTTTCTGGTGCGTTTCCTTGGAGAAACAGTGCATCCAGAGAGATAGCAAGGGGAATAGAGAGAGAGCCCACGGAAAGATCAGCCATGGCCAGACTTGCGATCAGAATGTTGGAACCTTTCTGTAACTCTTTCACTTTCTTTACTGCAACGATCACTAGCATGTTCAAAAATATGATCAGCGGGCAAACAGTGGCCGTGACAGCGATTCCAATCTGACGGTAAATAACGTGCTTTGAGTCCCAGGTGAACTGTGGCGTGGCTGGGCAAGAGAACCCTGAGCAGGAAAAATTACCATACGAATGTACCAAGTAAGTTGCATTCATGTTGATGAATATCGAGAGTGCCTTGGAGGATCCGTGGATGGTAGTAATACAGTTTCCTCTTGAAAAAAATTAATTGATGAATATTAAGAGTGCCTTGGAGGATCCGTGGATGGTAGTAATACAGTTTCCTCTTGAAAAAAATTAATTCCAAGACAAAAACCACAGCTTTTAAGGTGAATAATTCTCATGAAAACACTGGAAATGTTTTTAGATGCAAAAGATCGTGGTCTCATGCATGACAAAATCTAGATCCATCCTCGCTGTAAGAAAATGTGTCGTGCTACTGGCGAAATATCGGAGAGTTTACCTCGAGATAAACTTCAGTAATCGAAGATGCAAAAAGGTTCTTGAACATGTGACATATGTATTGCCTTCTCGATTGTTCTGCGAACGCTCTGAGACGGTTCAATTACGGAACTTCCCTAAGGTAAATAGTTTTGACAAAAATTGGCAAAAATAAAAACCCAAAAACCTCCAATAATTGACCTTCCGTAGAGGAATAGATGCAGAATCAGTCATAAAACGTGAGAAGTAAACTGCATGTTTCTAAACAGCATGTTTACATCCTAACTGGCGCAGCTCGCGAAGAGAGCATTTAAAAAAAAATTTAGCTCAATGAAACTAAATACTTATCTATTATCCCAGTGTAAATTGGAATATTAGAATCTGAATCGCAAAAAGGTACTGGTGGGAGTAGAAGTAGAAGTAGTAGTTTCTCGAAAACAGAATGCACAAAACGTGACGAGCGAACATCTGCTATTTAGACATTTCTCACAACAACCTTTGAAATTACTGTTTGAAAAATATTCCCACCTCTTCAAGGTCCCTCACTTAAGCCATTTTGTTTTGGTTCTTTTTTGGTTTTAAAACCGAATACTCTTAATTGAAACACTCCTATATATACCCATTGACCCGCAGGCTGCGAGAATTTCTCTTCACGTTTTTGGCTCTCGGACCAAAACCTTGTGGGGCAGAAAATTGAAAAATAGAGAGAGGAAAAGGCAGCTGTCAACTCGTTTTATCTTTTTGCTTCCGGCTGTCTTTTTTTATCTTAATGAGTTCAAATTCTCTAAATTCAAAATCAGTTTCTAATCACTTGCTATTTTTCTCCATCTGAATTGAGTCAAAACATTCCCTCGTCTTCGACATAATCATTAAAAGGAATTTGCTTCTCTACAGAAGAAAAAAAGGGAAATATTCGACTCGTAAGTCAATGAAATCCTCCTAAACTCTCTCGCAAAAATTTAATTGTTAAACTGTGCTGCTCAGAGTAGCTGCTAATGAGTTGAACAAAAAACAAAGAGAAGAAAAAAGCAGACCTTCGCTGCCATTGTCTGTCTTCTTATTTGTCTATCTTCTATTCAAGAAGTAAATGAAACAATTTGAAAACTGCTACAGAGCAATTAGGGACCTCAGGAAACGGCGACGGAAACAAGGACGTGGCAAAAACAAAAAGTTGGAAGGGTTGAACAATAGCTCGGCACGTGAATTGCGAAACTTTGTATTTTTCCAAGCCGTCCCCTGAAAAACAAACTCCCTTTCTTTTCGTAACGGCCTCCGGCCAAAAGTGATTTTGTAGAGAGACGCTTCAAACGGCCCATGAGGATGAAAAAATAGCACAAATGCGTAGATTAACCTTTCATTCAACTTTACTGAGATATTCAGACCGAGATGTAGTGATGATATGCAATTTTCAGAGCTTTCTTCTCGATCCTCATTTACTTTGTTCGTCCTATGTCAACAATGATCAACCACGAACACAGAGTGTGGGCTGCCTGTGCTTGTGCGATGTTGCGCACGTTTGGCTGGCCCCTTCACTACATCTCACAAGACTAAATTAGTAATGAGAATTTGGTGCTAGATCAAGATAACAACTTCTACTTGATAAGTTTGAATATTCTGATTACCTATTTGCTGGATAATGTAAGGATATTATAGGGAGAAGTTTCATGTTGATCACTTCTAGGAGTTCAAAGGTTAGGGTAATGTTATTGTAATACCTGATCAGAACTTCTTAGCAGCAAGCAACAATTCAAACCAATTTGTTTTGTTGCAACTGCAGTAGTCCTACAATGATTGGAAGAGAGACCACCACATGTTATAACTGTGTCACACTTCTTATCTAAAGCATCAGCCAAGACAAACTCCAATTTACGAACCTATAACATAACAAAGCAATTAATTAAGTTACTTACGATCAATTCCTCCTTAATTTTAATAATCAACCTCTTTAGCAAGACATACACCTAAAAAAGCCAATATAATGTAGTTTGGTCACTTGAGCAAACTGTCAAAGGGAATATGAGAAAGTTTATAAAAATATACAAAATTGATGGAAAGAAAAGCAAAAATAAGGAAAACTTGACACTTTTCAATGTTTTCTGTTCATTTGATTTTGGGTATCCGGTGCAGTGTAAATTTACCAATTTTTTTTTGAGCTCTGCTGTTAAACTTAAGTGTTTTAAAAACACCCTGACTTGCCGAGATTTGTGGCTGTCTTAAACTCAAGTGAGGCAGCTTGATTCTGACTGCCTGAAAGTATGATATTGGGGTTTCATTTTCAGGTCTCGACACTTGTAAATACCCAAATATTGACCACTACATGTGCATATGTTGGTAACCATTTTTAGAAGTTCAAGCAATATTGTAAAACGGAGATGCCCTAAAGGGGGATGACCATTGATAACATCTTAAGAAAAGTTTTCACCTCACTTCATCCTAAAAAGTACAAGTAAGTTAAGTGTTACAGTTTGTGACATGACTGCCAAAAACGGCAGCAGGTCTGACAATGATCACATTTACTGTAGGTACTGACTATGGTTCACAGTCAACCATGGTCACACCAAACACATTCACTACCAAAACTGTCTGACCATATAATGTAAAGGCTGATATATTCAAGAAAAGTAAAATTTATTTAAGTAATTTGGCAACTCAGGGAGGGTTTCAGGGTCACTATGGAATACCATGGAAAACCATGGACAGTGCGCCAATGGCACTGTAAAAACTCAATGTGTCTGAAAGAGATAAAATTCTGAGTGAATTCTAATTAGGACACATAATTTTCATTGATTTGATATCGCATTAGGAACCTTCAATTCGTCAAAAAGAAAACTTTTAGAATCAGTTTTTCTTAACTTAACGGAGGAACGTGTCGGAACGTGATGTAACAACTTCAACAGTGTTACACTTTATGAAATTCTACACAGATATCCCAGAGTTGTTCTTTTAATTTTCGCACTCTTATATCTATGCACTCATGAGCTTGCAGAAATTTACAGCTCGTTTTACCTTGAAGAACGTAAAATTGAAACATATACGCAGATTGTAGGATTAAAAGGAGACGTTTAAGTTCCTTTTTTGACATCTCTTCACGTCGCGTTGCATCACGCATAATTAGTGCAAGAAACTGGTAACACCCAGGAGCATGTTATGAAGTAGACTTTAATTGTCATTAACTTTGATTTATACACCAAAATCAGATGAAGTCTGTAAAGCTTTGCTACATTACACATTACATTAGTGGATCATATTATATACACCAGTGGGGTGGTTCATGAACGATTCCCTGCGATTCTAATAGCCACAACAACTTACTTAAACATTTCGTATGAAAACTCAAAACAGCAAAATAGATACCTCTGGGTACGAAAGACTTATCTGGAGGTTTGAGCTGTTCCCGAACAGTCGTTAAATTTTTGGCTTACAAGTCCTACTGATGGTGACACTCAATTACTCTATCGATGTGCAGCGCTTCTTAACCAGTCTGTTGTCGCGAATGCCCTAGGGCCGAACTTCACGATATCACAGTATAAACTTGGTTTTAGAAGATTTAATTCACGGTTCACGGTTCTCAGGTACAGTACTCCCTCACTCTCTCCAGGCAACTAAACTACATCATACAATACAATGTAAAAACTAACGATCTGTCAACAATGGTCTCCTGTATCTAAGTTACTCGATCAAGCTGTCAATCAATACGAGATACTTGGCGCGTGTCCATCTTTGATTTCTGACTGTCATTGACATGTAATCTAAATATCCTATCATCACATGTTTTAAAGGGGCTTGCTCGAAATAATTATCTTGAAATGTTTGTATTAGTCACGCAATCTCCGACACTATCTCCGAAAGGCGCCATTGCCTCTTTTGGATCTCAAATTCACCCTGCACGTCAGGATGGCATTGATATTTGGGTTCATGTTGACCAAATATGTATACTTAGAGTGTTGGGTGGGTTCTGCTTACAATATTTTCAAAATAAGTTTCTTAAGAATATTCAATTATTCAAAATAAAGTTTCTTAAGAAACCGTGGTGCTGCGTCGGTGGGAGAGTATAACAGGTAATTTAGTGTTGACAATTGAGTTGATAACGTAAACTGACCACCGTAAAGAGTTCAAAGGCTGCTAGCTCGCGCAATTGAATTTGATTACACAAATTTACTAGCTATGTTATAAAATTTTTTGTAACATAAAAAGAGCATAACTTTCAAACGGACGATAGTATCGCAATACTTCACCTTAAGAGAAAGACAAATACATAATTTGTTTGAACTCACACAGGTTTTTTTGTGGTCTGTTTTCTTTATTATCTAAATTCTTCCTAGCAAAAATAAAATGCATCGGTGCCACTCTTCCTGTTGTCTCCCCTTGCAGCAGTGGTTTGGTCTCGTCACACAACGCCATCTATTCCCCGTTGGAGAGAGAGCTCGTTGCGTGATAAGACCGAATAACGGTTGCGAAAGAGACTGTTCCTCTAACAGACGGAAAATAAAAAAAATCTCCGTCTACAGTTAGCTGCCTGAAATATATAATTTCACGTAATTTTACTATGAAAAGCATTTGAAACTCTTTTGTATCTCCAATAGACCCTAACCAAAGATATATTGCGATCTCGAATAAATGAAGATACATTAAACAAGAGAAAAGGATAATAGCGGAGCTCGCAGAGCGTAGCCCCATAATTATACAAAATAGTAGTAACCCATCAAGCCGAAAAAATTTGGATGTACGACTGTTAGAATTAATTTCTCTAACACTCGTTTGTGGTTTGGTTGATCCTTCTTTATTTACTTTTCTTCTCAAGTTGTTACAATGGGGACTAGCTTCAATATATCAGGGAAAACTAGAGTCTCCGCTTATATAGGTGACACTGCGGATGACATTTCTAAGCCATCAATCTTTTTGTGTCGTCATTGTACCATCTCAACTAGCGAATCACGCTTGACTACGTATTATAGTTCCCACATACTGAGTAAGCACCTTAGGGTTGTCTACGCAGTTACAAAATCAATTTCTTCCCTAATTTTCATATCCTTACGGTTGAGATCGGCCAGAACAGAAACGAGATCGACAATATAAAAATTACAAATAACCTTGGTGTTGAGTATTATTTATACCTGAAAGTGTATCTTAAGAGAAAATCACCTTTAAAGATTGTTACATAACAACATCTTGGTCACAAGAGTTAAAGAAGAAAGGCGCTCACAAGTACCGCTCCCAAATTGCTTCTTGAGGCGAAACATGAGGTGCATCACCTGTTTACCCTTAAATTACCTCTGGGAACACGACGGTGTCGAACGCGACCTATTACCAGGGAGATTTACTCTTCCTGGACTAACAAATTAACTTATTTAAGAACATGGCTTATCACGAGTTCCATGTCAACTTCACGATCACAACGAAGAAAACGTAATTAGACTCACTAGGAGAACGTGGCCAAACTCACAAGAAGAACGTGATCAAACTCGACCCTTAAGATAAGACCACCAAGAAGGAGTACGAAGTAATCAACCTGCCCTTTTTATAATTTACATTAAATGACTTAGAAGAAAATAATATTTCCATTCCTTTTCTTTTCAACACCAATACAGGAAACCCTTACGATATTGTAGATTAACTATAATTGTAATTTTATCATTTAACACGACCGTACGACCGTACAAGGTGATACTTTTAACATGCGTGATCAACTGTACCGCAGGTACGCCAACGCCACGGCTTTGTCCAATAGTCCAGTGGTCAGTGCACTGGGCTCCGGGCTCCAGTGGTCGGTGCACTGCGGTTCGAATACGTGACTAAATGCAGGCTGTTTACAAGGATGGAGCGCAGTCTAATTTGACAAGATAGAATTTAATTGCTGGAATACAATCCAAGCACATGGAAAATTGCCTAATGTTCATGTAGTGCCACGATTGGGTATGTTCTGATTGGACTTTGGACGTTGTTTCCATGGTACGTGATGGAATGTAAGTTGTTTGGCGTGTAACTTGTGAGTTAAGGAGCGCAAAAAAACACGCTTTAACTTAATAATGGTATAGGTCATGCGAGCCTGACTATGAACCTAAACAATGTTACTTACACTATTATCGGCCTAAAAATAGTTACTCTTAATTAGGAATGAAATTGACTACAAATTATATCCAATAAAAACCATATATCATGACGTAAAGCTTCTTTGATTAATTACAATCAGATCGGCAGAGGGTCGTTGATGTCTCTCCAGGACAGAATCTCATTGATACATTGTGTGCCTCGTGAACTTGTCAGTAAAGATTCAACTCCTCCATTAAATAAACCAAAACATCCACCTTATTAAAGAACAAAAAAAAAACATAATTGAAAATAGTAATACGACAGGTTACCTCAGCCAATTAATTTGTTAATCAAAACTAGAACAAAATTTCGAGCGTGATTGATTTTCACCAGCCCGATTTATAAACAATTATTGGATGAGGTTTTTGTGATATCCAGAATAATCAAGGTTGAGGTAGGGGTTATCAGCCTCAGCCTTCGACTTCGGTTGATAACTCTTACCTTGAAGGAAAAAAAATGGTCACGACAGTAAGTGGAACTAATAATTTGTTTCTAAACGTGGAAAAATAATAAATCAGCAAGCACCACAAAGCGCGCGAACTTGACACATTATCTTTAGAAATCATGCAACGCGGTCATACATGACATGATTACCTGAGACTTCGAGTGTTCTTGACATAAGTATTGTGTTATCACTAAATAATAGTAATAGGACCGAGTGGAGTCCAATTCGGTCTGTAATCATACGAGTGACTAACAAAATCGGACGACCGCGAAGCGGGAGTCTGATTTGTTAATCGCGAGTATGATTACAAACAGAATTGGACGATACAAAGTCCTGCTACCCGGTTAATCATAACTGTTGCAATTTCCGAAAAGGAAAAAAATATAGTTAGGACGAACATCTCCGGTAGAGACAATGTCTAAAGTAAAATTCCCCGGTCTTTTTCAGGATTAGTGGTTGTTATTATGGTTATTGTAATCGGTGCTATGATTTAGCTGAGTGGACTTAGTATGATTGGCTGCTTTAACAGTCCGATTACCACTGTACAGCATGATTAGTGAAAAATAAAGCAGCTAATGCACCAATCACATTTGAAGAAATTGTAACGGTTATAATTAAAGCACTAATATGGCAGTCTACGCGTCATGCTTGTAATTGGACAGTGTAATAGGACAGTTATAGGAACAGTTAACACGTCATGTCTGTGTAAGTGGACAGAAAGCGTCATGTGCGCGCGCTGTTGTCTCGCATTTCGCCGAGTTAACTGTTTTTTATGAAAAACTATACATGATCTCTAGTTTCTTTCTCAAATTAATGTCACAGTTTTATTAACTGGTAACAGGACTTCTATCTCGTCCAATTCCGTCTGTAATAATACTCGTGATTAACAAATCATATTCCCGCTTCGCGGGATTACACTCCGAATAGGAGTCCACTCGGTCCTATTACCTTTATAAATATGATTTGTCGTTGACCAATCCATTCCCATTAACGTTACGGTTCGCTCCAATTAGCACCTCAACTACAAAAACCTTGCTGACATCTGGAAAGATTTGATCCAAGAGAAAATCATTTAAGAGTCTTTACTCTGCTGTGAACTGTTGAACTCCCAAGATGTGACTGTTAATTCTCCTGACTTTAGCTGCCACACATTTCCTTCTTAACTAGTTATGAGAATGACTGTAAATTTATGAAAATCATATATGTAAACTGTGGTTGAAGAAACAAATATGGACGCAATCCTTGCAATTATGAACACTACTTAAGTAGTGGTGAAAATAAGACCTAAAAGAAATTCAGGTCTGTACAGGATTTGAACCCATGACCTTTGCGATACCTGTGCAGCACTCTACCAACTAAGCTAACATGCCAACTGGGAGCTGGTCATTATTTTAGTCACAAATAAACCCATAAAGTGGTGAATAAATGACTGTAAATATATGAAAATTATCATGTAAAATATGGTTGAAGAAACGAATATGGAAGTGATCCTTGCAGTTATGCAGTAGTGAAAGTTTATGCCTGAAGTGCCATAAAGGCCTGAATTTTTTCAGGCCTTACTTTCACTATTACTTAAGTAGTGTTCATAACTGTGAGGGTCACTTCCATATTCCTTTTGTTCAACTGCAGGTCACATATATGATTTTCATATATTTACAGTCATTTACTAACCACTTCACAGGATTGATTTGATATCCATTTAGTTTGAGAATTAATGTGGTAAGATCAAGATAATAGCTTCTACCTGATAAGTTAGAGTATTCTCATTATCTGTTTGCTGGATAAGATATGGATATTATAAGGAGAAGTTATATGTTAATCACAATCCCAGGTGGGACTGGGATACAAAAACTCCCAATCCCTTGGGTACACCAGCCACATTATACCTATGGATAAAAAATTTGATTAAAATAATACACTTAGTTCACACCTACACAGGCCCAAACATTAATTTTCATCTCTCTTGAAAAACACATCTTGTGAAAAAAGCAAAGAATATGATGTAACAATAAGAAAGGATAAGCAAAGCTTTGTATTTTGTCAGTGATCTTACTTCCATGAGACTTCCATTGTTGAAGGAAGTCAGTGAAGAGTAGGTTTTGTTAGTTAACTGGCCTTCAGTTTAAGGCATCTTACTATCTATAATTGGAATAATCTCTTAGATCTTTTGGTTTAATTAATTCAAAATGATTGGATTCTCTCTTTAAGTCTTGCACCTTTGACTCAAAACAGCTACCAAAAGTTGTCAAAATAATCTGAACAAATCAGCTACCTACAATTTTTCTGCCATTTTCTCCATCATTGGTTGAAGGCCAGCCTTATATTTCAACTTTGGAACAAGAATAATATTACTTCCAGCCATCCTACTTAAAAGAAGATTCCCTTTACATCCAACATTGACTGTCTCCTACAAGGAAAAGAAAACAAAAGGTTGACTGCAGTCAGAGAATTAGCAATAACACAGATATTGTTGTTGCTCATGTAAAAAAGACACTTTGTAACAACAAGTGGTGCTTGAGCTACAAAATGTTAGGGAAAGGTATAATTGTTGTATTACCTGATCAGAACTTCTTAGCAGCAAGTAACAATTCAAACCAAGTTGTTTTGCTGCAACTGCAGTAGTCCTACAATGATTGGAAGGGAGACCACCACATGTTATAACTGTGTCACACTTCTTCTCTAAAGCATCAGCCAAGACAAACTCCAATTTACGAACCTATAACATAACAAAGCAATTAAGTTGCTTACAATCAATTCATACTTGATTGAAATAATTAAGCAAGACATACATAGACAAAAGCCTATATAATGTCGTGTGATCACTTGTGCAAACTCAAAGGGAAAATATGAAATAAACAGCAGTGTCACACGATATGGTAAAAAGAAGTAAAAAGTTCATAAAAATGTAAAAATGGAAACAAACCAGAGATAAGGAAAACTTGACAATTTTCAAGATTTTCTGTTCATTTGATTTTGGGCATCCAGTGCAGCATTAATTTATCAATTTTCCATGAGTTCTACTGTTAAACTTCATTGTTTTGTAAAAACAGCCTGACTTACTAACATTTGTGGCTGTCTCAAACTGAAGTGAGGCAGCTTGATTCTGACTGCCTGAAAGCATGATATTGGGATGGTATTTTCAGGTCTCCACATTTGTAAATGCCTTAATATTTGACCACTACATTTGCATGTGTTGGCAACTGTTTTGGGAAATTCAAGGGACATTGTAAAATGCAGACAACCTCAAGGTGGATGACCATTGATAACATCTTATGAAAAGTTTTCACCTCACTTCATCCTAAAAAGTAACGGTAAGTTAAGTTTTACAGTTTGTGACATGACTTCCAAACACAGGTAGACAATTTGCCAACTTTTAATTTTAATTTGGTTGCAAATTCATTTGAACTTTCCAAGGAAAGCATTAAGTTAACTAGGCTGAAAATATATTCATTTGGTAAATCACACCTTATTTCCAGACAGAGCACATCCGGTAAGGTCATCCCTTTTGATGGATATTGAAAACTCCTTTGGGGCATTGGGAATATTCCATGGATGGATTGGAGTGTTACGTTGAGCAAGCTACAAAATGGCAAAACTTTTCATTAGCGTGAGAGTTATACTCTAAAACACTTTCATATTTCGATTGTACAATTTGATTTATAACATAGCTAGTAAATTTGTCTAATCAAATTCAATTGCGGGAGCGTGCTTCATATTCCTATTGTGCACGGACATGACGTCAGCAAACAAATCCCTCGCGAAAACAAATTTTCCATCAGGTTGAAAATGTTATAAAACAATTGGTTCATACATCAGCTGTGCGTTCATCGAGATATGAAGCACTTGGGAAGTTTGGAGAGCACTCAAGAAGCTAGAGTCACTTGAGCACCTTTCGTGCTCTCCAAACTTTTGCGTGCTTCATATCTCGATGAACGCACGCTGACGTATGAATCAATTTTTAATTGTATCATATTGTCTTACCTTGAGGAAATACTTTGGAATGTTCTTCAGGGATGAAGCCCACTTAGGTGGTTCATACTTATGAAGCTGTGCAAGATTATTTGCGTTCATTTCCGAGGAACTGAGAGAAAAGTTGACAAGATATATATTGTACGTGTCTTCTGTCTATCAATACCTTACACTATCACTTCAAAGTTCAAGTTCAAGTATGTTTATGTTTTGTCTAGTGCGAGGCACGTAGTCACTATCATGAATTGAAATAATTATTTCAGTCTGCCGCAGTTTTCGAAGTTGGAGTCAATTTGACTAAATAAAAGGCTGTTAAAGATTCCTTCCGCCCTCAGGTCTATTGGATTTTATATGATAGGCTCAGTCATGCACGCATTCTAATTGGTTCTCACTTCTGATCTACTGGAGGACAGACGTATCTATGACGTCATCATTAAAACTTTTTATTATATAAAACAAATAGATTCCAAGTTGCCGTGCGTCTGTTAAGTAACATTAGTGACACATCGGCTGCGCCTTGAGTGCCACTTTCTTGTTCTTACCACATTTTGACGTCCTTTGTGACCTATTATTGAACAGACGCACAGCAACTTGGAATATAAAATAATGATATATAAAAAATAAGAGTAAGAATATAAAATGTTAAATTAGAAATGTTGCGTGATAGGCCAAAATAACGTCTGCGTGACATGGAAGTTTCTCGGCCCCAAAACGTCGTGTAGACCCTTGGTAGCGGCCGACACCAGCGAAGCAAATTTCAACCACAACTACGAGTTTCGCTAGTGAAGACGCACTATGAAGCGAAGATATATTGTACGGAAAAGACTTGAATCGTTTTATTAGCGTAGTCGACGTATCCAAGTACTTATCTTAAACTGAAATATGAAATTATAAGGAAGAAGCTGAGCTAAATTCTAAGATACGGACCAACATTCCAATCATTCCGATATAAAAGCAAGATCCCAAAAGACTAGCTAAAACTCTAAAACAAACTCACAAAAGACTATCTTCAAGGATAAAGGAGAACCGCTTGCTAACGAATTCTAACAAAACTAATAACCGAATGGGAAATTGTACAGAAAAGACTTGAATCGTTTTATTAGCATAGTCGACGTATCCAAGTACTTATCTTAAACTGAAATATGAAATTATAAGGAAGAAGCTGAGCTAAATTCTAAGATACGGACCAACATTCCAATCATTCCGATATAAAAGCAAGATCCCAAAAGATTAGCTAAAACTCTAAAACAAACTCACAAAAGACTATCTTCAAGGATAAAGGAGAACCGCTTGCTAACGAATTCTAACAAAACTAATAACCGAGTGAGAAATCGTACGGAAAAGACTTGAATCGTTTTATTAGCTTAGTCGACGTATCCAAGTACTTATCTTAAACTGAAATATGAAATTATAAGGAAGAAGCTGAGCTAAATTCTAAGATACGGACCAACATTCCAATCATTCCGATATAAAAGCAAGATCCCAAAAGACTAGCTAAAACTCTAAAACAAACTCACAAAAGACTATCTTCAAGGATAAAGGAGAACCGCTTGCTAACGAATTCTAACAAAACTAATAACTGAGTGGGAAATCGTACGGAAAAGATTTGGATGGATTTGGGGTCGTTATATTGTACTCCACTTGCAATTATATACCGCGGGATGGATGAGCTAACGTGAGGAAGCTTCATTCACTGCTTTCCAAACCATGCTGGAATCGCCTTTACTTTCTTCAATTAGGTTGCAATAGTAATTTGACTTCGAGGACTTAATTTCGCGATTCACAAAATTTCGCAGCTTTCTATACATTCCCCAGTGGTATGTAGAGTTTGATTTCTGTGCTTTCCGAAGATGATAATTGCGATCGCGCATCGCTTCAGCGATTTTATTATTCATCCAAGGAGCTGTCGTGCCCTTTACTCGGCGCTTTTAAGCGGTGCATGAGAATCCGCAACTTCGGTAAATTATTTGTTCCAAGTCAAGACTGCGTCGTTGACATTGCTCTCATCGTCGACAATGTGCCACGGAACATTTTTTAAGTCCTGGATGAAGGCATTTTACACAATACCCCTGTGTCGAGGGGTATTGTGTAGTGTCGCCATGGACAAAGGTAAGCAAGAAGAAAGAATTATTTCATCAATCATTTTTTATTTCTTTTTTTTAAAATAAACATTTCACGTGCTACTTTTCCTTAATACAATGTCATCTACTTCGCTTAAAACAGTAATTATAATAACCTCCTCTCTCCACCTTCCGTTTCGACGCTACTTCTGGTTATCATTTGCGCTGCTTGCTTTTATATTAGTTAATTTAGCTTTAGACTTGTGACAACATGGTAATTGTACCTTTTAGCTCAATCCAACTAAGTTTTGTAAACTTTGTCCTGTTTACTAGGGATAGAATTCTAACGAACGAGACTCAATCAAACTGTTTTATTCCGCTCTCCCATTCGCTTTTTTACATCGGGTGTGTAAAAAGCTACTCTCACAAAATTCGTAAGAAATCACTCTCTTATACGATATTCTCTACATTGTGATTGGTTGTTGCCAAGTACTGATTTAAAAGGTCATTCAAGGTTGCGTTAATTATGTAAACCAATCAATGTCCATAATGTTCACACTCATCATCTGACATGTGTCACGCACGAATCAAAGTCTCCGACATAAGTACGTGTTTATTACACCATGATATACCCGGGTTGTGTTCATTAAAATATTAGAATCTGTGTCGCAAAGAAGTAGTAGTAGAAGTTTCTCGTGAAAAGCGAACATCTGCGATTTTAAACATTTAGCACCTTCGGGATGAATATCTGTTACAACAACTTTTGAAAATACTGGTTGAAATAAATACCACTACTTCGAGGTCGCTTACTTAAGCCATTTTTTATTTGGTCTAAAAACCCAATACTCTTATTTGAATCACTCCCACATATACCCATTGACCCGCAGGCTGCGAAAATTCCTCTTTGCGTTTTTTGTTCTCGAACCAAAACCTTGTGGGAGAGAAAATGGAAACTAAAGAGAAGAAAGGGCTGCTGTCAACTCTTCTGCTTTCTCTTTTTGCTTCTGGTTGTCTGTTTTTATCTTAATGAGTTCAAATTCTCCAATTCAAAATCAGTTTTTAATCACCCATTATTTTTCTCCATCTGAATTGAGTCAAAACATTTCCTCGTCTTCGACATAATTATCAAAGTGAATTTGCTTCACTACAGAAAAACATAGGCATGCATAGTATACAAGAGTTATTTTGTTTGGCTGGGCGGGTTAAAATTGGGCTCTTCGTGTACCTAATTTTTTCATTTTTGTAACAGGAAAAGAGCATAACTTTCAAACGGACGAAAGTATCGCAATACTTCACCATAAGGGAAAGACAAACACAAAATTTGTTTGAACGCACACAGGTACTTTGTGCTCTATTTTCTTTATTGTCTAAATTCTTCTCAGCAAAAATAAAATACATCAGTGCCACTCTTCCTGTTGTCTCCCCTTGCAGCATTGGTTTGGTCTCGTCACACAACGCCATCTATTCCCCGTTGGAGAGAGAGCTCGTTGCGTGATGAGACCTTATAACGGTTGCGAAAGAGACTACGCTTACTGCTATTCCGCTAACAGACAGAAAATAAGGAATTTTCGTCTACAATTAGTTGCCTGAAATATATAATTCCACGTAATTTTACTATGAAAGGTATTTGAAACTCTGTTGTATCTCCAATAGACCCTAACCAAAGATATATTGCGATCTCGAATAAATGAAGATACATTTAACAAGAGAAAGGATAATATTTCAAAGAGGGCTCCTTGATTGGTTGTTGCCCATCTGCACTGCCATCTGTGTGTGAAATACGTGATAGAATGTAGGTTGTTCACAAGTTACTAACACGCGATAAGATTAAATCCAAGGTAGCTAAAAGCCAATTTTATTCGTAGAAAAAGTCCAAATGCGGGAGAATTGCCTGAAAAATTCATTATTAGTAGCAGTTAGTCTCATTTGAATTTTTCTCAGTAGGGTTGGACAATGCGGTTTGAATACGTGACTAAATGCAGGTTGTTTACAAGGAAATGGTACGTGATGGAGCGAAGTCTTATTTGATTGGTGGAATACAATCCAAGCACATGAAAAATTGCCTAATGTTCATGTAGTACCATGATTGGGTTTTTTCTTATTGGACTTCGGACGTTGTTTTCATGGTACAAATGATGGAATGCAAGTTGTTTGGCGTGTAAGTGGTGAGTAAAGGAGCGGAAAAAACACGCTTTAACTTAAAAATGGTACAAATGATGCGAACCTTTCATAGCCCGATAAATCTCTACCTTAATCAACGAGGTTCCCGCGAAAGCCACAAACCATTACACTTATCAAATGAGCCCAAAATTCATGGTTTATGTCATTCTTTGTACACAGCCCCCTGATGCTATCGGTTGTCATTTGCAAGAAAACAATTCCCAAACGCTGTGATTGGTGCGATACATACCCTAATGCGGAAAACTGATTGGTGCGATATACCTACCCTAAACGCTGTGATTGGTGCAAGATATCCAAATGCTGTGATATGATTGGTGCGAGATACATACCCATATGCGGCAATCTGATTGGTGCGAGATAAATACCCAAATGCGGCTAACTGATTGGTGCGAGCAACATATCACTCTAAACTGACGCTATTAGAGAGTTATTTTTTTACCAAAAAAAAACTCAAAAAGGAAATCGTTGACCCTCTAGTTAACGAAATTCTCCCAAGCTCTTTCGCAAAAAAATTAATTGTTAAACTGTGTGCTCAGCGGAGCTGCTAATAAGTTAAACAAAAAGAAGAAATAAAAAGACCTTCTCTGTTATTGTCTGTCTTCAACCTCAAGCAAACCACGCAGGGCGACGGAAACAAGGATGTGGAAAACAAAAGGAAGGAGGGGTTGAATAATAGCTCGACACGTACATTACAAACTTTGTGTTTATTTAAGCGGTCCTCTGAAACGGCAAACTCGCTTCCTTCTTCCCTGATTTTGTAGAAAGGCGCTTCAAACGGCCCATGAGGGTAAAAAAACACCACAAATGCGTCGATTAACATTTTATTTAACTTTATTGAGATATTCAGACTAAGATGTAATGTAGATATGCAATTTTCAGAACTTTATTCACGAACGAAGTTTGGTTGTTTGCTGTGAGCTCTCATTGTCCATCTTATACAAAAAACGAGAAAATAAATCACTGCTCGCCGCGAACATTACAAATTTAGACCAACAAGGGTGGTGAGGGGTCTTAACAAAAAAAAAGGAACAATTAAGGTTCCTCCACTTGAATTTCTACTGGTAATTTTCGTAACTGACCGCCCCACTTCATCTACTCCGTTGCCATATAATCTATCTATTCGTGTGTATCTTTGACAAATATCTACTGTATTTATAACTTCACAATGTTTCTTACACTATTATCGGCCTAAAAATAGTTACTCTTAACTAGGAATGAAATTCACCACAAACTATATCCAATGAAAACCATATATCATGACTTAAGGCTTCTTTTATTAATTACAATCAGATCGGCAGAGGATCGTTGATGTCTCTCCAGCACAGAATCTCATTGATACATTGTGTGCCTCGTGAACTTGTCAGTAAAGATTCAACTCCTCCATCAAATAAACCAAAACATCCACCTTATTAAAGAACAAAAAAAACATCATTGAAAATAGTAATACGACAGATTACCCCAGTCAATTAATTTGTTAATCAAAACTAGAACAAAATTTCGAGCGTGATTGGTTTTCACCAGCCCGATTTATAAACAATTATTGGATGAGGTTTTTGTGATATTCAGAATAATCAAGGTTGACGTAGGGGTTATCAGCCTCAGCCTTCGACTTCGGTTGAAAACCCTTACCTTGAACGAAAGAAAAGATGGTCACGACAGTAAGTGGGTTGAAAATGTTATAAAACAATTGGTTCATACGTCAGCGTGCGTTCTTCGAGATATGAAGCACTTGGGAAGTTTGGAGAGCACCCAACAAACTAGAGTTACTTACGCATCTTTCGTGCTCTCCAAACTTCCCGCGTGCTTCATATCTCGATGAACGCACGCTGACTTATGAGTCAACCAATTGTTAAATGGTAATAGGACCGAGTGGATTCCGATTCGGAGTGACTACCAAAATCGGACGAGCGCGAAGCGGGAGTCCGATTTGTCAATCGCGAGTATGATTACAAATAGAATTGGACGACATAAAGTCCTGTTACCCGGTTAATCATAACTGTTGCAATTTCCGAAAAGAAAAAAATACAGTTAGGACGAACATCTCCGGTAGAGACAATGTCTAAAGTAAAATTCCCCTGTCTTTTTTAGGATTAGTGGTTGTTGCTATGGTTGTTGTGATCAATTCTATTATTGGTGGATTTAGCTGAATGGACTCAGTATAATTGGCTGCTTTAACTGTCCGATTACAACTGTACAGAATAATTAGTGAAAAATAAAGCAGCTAATGCACCGATCACATTTGAGGAAATTGTAACGGTTATGACTAAAGCACGAATAGGGCAGTCTACGCGTTATGCTTGTAATTGGACAGTTATAAGAACAGTTAACACGTCATGTTTGTGTAAGTAGACAGAAAGCATCATGTGCGCGCGCTGTTGTCTCGCATTTCGCCGAGTTAACTGTTTTTTATGAAAAACTTTACCTGATGTCTAGTTTCTTTCTCAAATTTATGTCATAGTTTTTATTAACTGGTAACAGGACTTCATCTCGTCCAATTCTGTCTGTAATAATACTCGTGATTAACAAATCGGATTCCCGCTTCGTGGGATTACACTCCAAACAGGAGTCCACTCGGTCCTATTACCATTATAAATATGGTTTGTCGTTGACCAATCCATTCCCATTAACGTTACGGTTAGCTCCAACTAGCGCCTCCACTACAAAAATGTCCCTTCTATTGAGGTACTCATCATTGGAAATTGAAACAGGCAAATTGTCAAGGGAATCTGATCAAGGGATCTGGAAGGGAAGGAAGGAAGGCGGTGGGGAAACCTGTTATTGCAGCCCATCCAGAATAAGAGAAAATAACTCCTCAAGTAGTTATTTCATGCTCCAGGAATCTTGAGAGGTTCTGGCAATCATTCATGGGCATCTGTATTAAGTCTCACTACAGGTGCAATCTGTTAAGACTGTTTAGGGCTATCATCAAACTCATAAAAAATGTCTCATACCAGTATGAATGTAGAGTATCCTATTTCCTTGAAATCTCTTGGGATTGTTGGTCATTTCAGCCAGCATTCCTCTGACTGTCTTTATGTTGTACACTGGGTCAATCAACACTCCGGTAGAACTGGAAATCTCTAAAATGTATTCTGCAAGAAAAGTTTTTAAATATTGCATTTTACAAAAAATGAAATATAGGAAATTGAAAATATAAGTTACTTTGTGATAATGGCACAACGGTATTGCACTGAAATAGTACGATTAACAATGTACAGAGTACTTTAACATGGCCAAAGTTTTGAACCAGGTAGATTCCCTGGCCATTCTAAGTTGGCCTTTTAGGCTGGCCATGATCTGGAGTCAATGTTAAGGGAGCTGGATTGGAATAGAGGAGATCAAGGTTTCGTGGTAATCGCTTCTTCTTTAACAATGGTACATTAAAGAGGACGAGTAATTACCTAGATCTTCTTGTGAGGGTCTTTCATATCCTGGCAAATGATGTCCGCCAATGACATCAATTATTTCTTCTGCTTGCACAGAGAGCCCAGCTGCTTGAAGTTCTTCATTTATCTTGCTGTAAACACATGCATCGTCATCACTTACGTTTACTGCATGGCATCTACATTTACATGGGAAAAGCAAAGTTAAGCAAATTATAGTCTGGTGGATCACAGAGCAGCAACGTGTAGAACTCCCATGGACAGTATCAGTAGGACAATAATGCTGAAGGATTTTGATATCACCATATCATCACACCATCACTATCATCATCCTTCTTGTCATATTCACCGTTCTTAACCGGTATGTACATGAACACTCTAATTAATTTACATATTATGGTAGGCTTGATTAATTTCAGAATTGATTTGGTACACAAGTTTGGGTGCCCTTGAATCATAGGGCTAAAAACCAACACACTTATGATATAGAGGAAATATTTTCATGTTTTACTAGTCTATGATGGGAGTGCACTCTCTGAAAAAACTTAATATGAATACTATTCTTCTTCAACAATTCTGATGAATACTATAGCAGCTACAAGTTTAAATCTTTCATGAGAAAATTCACAGCTCACTTGAGTTTTGAACCTGTCAGATAATTAGCAATGGAAATTCCTGCTGCAGAGCCTCCACTGGCAGCTGTCATTACAATATCATCAAAATCTTCCAGCACATTCTTTAAAGGATGAGAAAATGCGTTCACTTCCAGCAATCAAACTATTGGTAAGATGAGTTTACAAACAACCACGTTATATTGATTAAAGATTCATTGCTACATAACAATAGCTTCAGCTGCAGACTTCCTCAAGCATTTCAGCTTCTCAATCAATTGGCTTTCAAGGCGAAGTTGAATGTTAATCAGTACCAGGGAGTAAAGGGTTTAATGACCTTTAAATTTTGAATTTGACTGGGGGGTGATACATGCCTAAATTCTGTAAAATATTGAGAGCTATGAACAACAAGAATCATTTTAAGGAAATGAAAAAGCTTTTTGCCCATCAACTTGTTGATCAGTAGAAAGGCCTAAGACTGCAGTGTACCTTCCTGATTAATTAGTGAAACTGAATGATGAATAAAATCCTCTTCACACAAAAACTAATACTCAACTTTGGGTTACTAGCCCTGGTTACAAGCTTATAGATTAAAGTCCACAAATGAGGAGAATTTGTTAAGCATTTGGATCATGGTCTGATTGAAATAATTAACTCACTTGGTCCATCATTTCTTGAAATGCTGTCAGGTAACCAAACGATCCTGTATATGAAGAACCTCCAACCTCTATCAGGTATGGGACTGAACCTTGCTGACGTCTGAAAAGATTTGATCCAAGAGAAAATCATTTAAGAGTATCTACTCTGCTGTGAACTGTTGAACTCCCAAGATGTGACTGTTATTTCTCCTTTTTAGCTGCCACACATTTCCTTCTAAACTAGTGTTATATATAACAACTTTGTTTAAATAATAACATATAACATATTATTATTAAAAAAGGGTTATAGAAGGGAGGAACTTAATCCTCATTGTAAACTATACCCCAGATATAAAAATTTAATACTATGCAATATACATATACATACTTAAACGTTTTATATACAAGCATATATCTATATAAATATAAAATCTAAATAAAGAAGACATATCTAAGATAAAAATTTTGTTTAAAATTATAATTAAATATTGTATAATACATAGAATAATTTAATTTTGTAATTATAGGCCTAGTTAAATAATGTTGATTTAAGAGCTTTCTTAAAAGCATTCATTGAGTCAAGTTCAACTGCTGATGACGGTAAACTGTTCCATGGGTCGATACATCTGTGCCAAAAAGAGTACTTAAAGATATCTGTACGGCAAAATGGTTTATATAGTTTAAACTGATGACTTTTTCTTGATTGCCTGTTACTGAAGGATATGTTATTATTAGTGTTTACAGAAGAGTGTCCTTTAATGAACTTAAAAAGCTGAACCAAACTAAGAAACTCTCTGCACTGAACTAGTGTCGCTAGTTTCAAGGATTTCAGTCAGTCTTCCGACGGAGTTTCTTACCAATGATCCATCTTGTAACGTTCCTTTGCACGCATTCAAGTTTTTCAATCAGATATGTTTGGTGAGGATTTCACGCTTGACAGGCGTACTCGAGTATTGGACGGATCAGGATCTATAACCAGTAAATAGAGCCTTAGAGTGAGATCCAAATGTCCGCTTGAGTAAGCCCAATAATCTGTTCGATCTTGCAACAACAGACAGTACGTGGGGTTTCCAAGATAAATCAAGATAAATCACTGGAAAGAACCACCCCAAATTCACGAATTTACCGCCACTGGAAGGCTTCAGAGGAACTGATCTGTTCGTGGATTTCGCAAGCGTGGAAAGCTATTCCGTCAGAAATGATCGCTGCCTCTTTCCTGAAGTGTGGGATCTCAAAAAATTCGGATGGATCACAAGATGAATTGGTTTACAATTCAACCGAGATCACTGATGAACTTGATGATTCAGTCATCGAAAACCTATTTGAATCAGACTGCGAGTCGGAATTTGAAGGTTTCGTTGTTTATGGACACCGAACATTTTACTTAAATTGTACGCAATGCAGTGATGATATTCAAGCTACCAGCAGTGCTGTGAGTAGAAATAATGCGTATGAATTGCTGTTATGATAATAATTCAAGTTGTGAATTTAGGTATATTAAAAAGGACCTCAAGTTACAACATTTGTAAAACGTTTGACCGTTATTGAATAGAAAGGCTTGTAAATAAGTGCTCGGTGAGTGCGATATTTGTAGTAGCAACTAGTTAGAAATTGTTTTAAACATATTATTAATGAATTACCAGCTCTTGTTAAATGGAAAAACGGAAGTTTTAAATCTTGGTGTATGTCTTGAAATCTTTTTTTTAAACAAAAGAGGTAAAAAATTAGGGTGCGTATTATACACGGGCGCGCATTATACACGGGTAAATACGGTATATGAAAATTATATGTGTGAACTATGGTTGAAGAAACGAATATGGAAGTGATCCTTGCAGTTACGCAGTAGTGAAAGTTTATGCCTGAAG